GAAAACAAACTAAATAATAATGAATTTAAACATGTTTAAACAACCACCGCTATATTAACTTTAGCTTTTACTCTCTGAGTACCCTCCAACAGCTTGGACTAGAGGCTTCCCTGTACTAAGATTTCAGCTATGCAATAGAATTATTAAAAATGGCTTATATGTTACTTAAATGTTTTCCTAATCTAGTTTATTTATAAACCTTGAGTAAATCTAATTAAAACTGATTTCAGTTATATAATCTGATCTGTGTATACTTACCTGCTGAAGTTAAACAAACCAAAAAATTTGCATTAAGCTGTCAATTTCAGAGGTTAGCCCAAATACAATTAGACCAGTCTAAACCTGATATAAGGGGTTAGAATCTCCAGATAATCTAACCCTATTTCTTACTAGATTAATTTGGAAGAGTTTGCCCTTTATAATTTTTTATTCAGGATCTGTTCAATTGCCAAAACATGTCTCTTTCTCCACTTTTACACACTTAGGAAACAAAATAGGAGTGTCTGTTTCTGTAGAGCCTGACCTAGAGCTAGGAGGTTAAGGGCAAGCCATTCCTGTATGAAGTGCCTTTGGTTTTATTTAACTGCTGCAATCACATTATTACCCAGTAGTAAGGCTGTGCCTACATTTCTTTTGTAAACCAGAAGTAATTTTAGGGCTGTTTAGGCGTTTTTCTACGCTCTACCAAGTTCTCCATGCACTCAAATCATTCCCCCAGGAAAGTGACCTTCCCAGTAAGAAACTTGATCTTATGGGTATCAAATGACCTGAAAAGATCTTTCAGCAGTTTGGTCAGGATAACATTAATAACCCAGCTCACGGGAGAATATTATGTACCAAAGCCTGTGAGAATTTGATGAATGTGGACTGCAAAGAAACTGACATAACCCCAACATTGGTCACCAAACAGTAAATGAATGAATTCCAGCTGACTACATCTGCAGAACCATGATCTGTCAGGTGGGAAGACTCATCACCAACTTCCTCAAAAAGTTGCAATTCTGTATTTAGCACAACAAAAATGTTGTCAGCATCTTCTCACCCTAGAACTGAAACAACTCAAACATGTAAGGAATTTGTTCTATTATGCTTTTTTATCACACACAAGTAGCCTACCACAGCAGCTGCAAGTACAGTACCCTTAAAACTATCAAGGAATCTATATTCCAATAGATATAGAGAACACTTTGAACTGAAAAACAACTACACCCAGCACTTTGAAACACTCTGAAGAACTTAAACTCAGCATACAGTTCGCAGCTCTGGAAAAGGGAATTTTGCTTTACTGTAACTAGCATTTTAATTTGAAATATAAGTCACACCTTCTAAATATGTATTCATAATCAGAAGTCACCTCAAACCTCTACGTATTTAGGAGTTACAATGCCCTATCATTAGTTGTTCTAAGCTGATAAAAGCCTAATGGAATGCCAAGTCAGCAATTCAACCAATACAAGCTATATATTTTATAGTTAATGTTGCTGTATGAAAAGTGTCCTATACAAAAACCTCCCGCATAACACTGCCCACAGAATGTACCAGTTTCTAAAAACGAGGCTATGTTGTACAAACAGCTATAGGCCTAGAACTAAGAAAGCTATCTGATGCTGAAACATTGAGCTTCGAAGAAAGAAAAATCTTCAGGATCCATCAAAGCCTCACATGTCTAACTTTTACCCTCTCAGCATGGATCAGCAGAACACCCTCTTTTGGGGTGAATGGGATTTTTTTAAAAACATTAATCATCCTACGTACATCAGCAATGCAGGATTGTTAGGAACAAAAATATATGGAAGTGTCACAACCTATAGTACACTTTTTAGTAGGAAAACCCAGAATATTTTCTCTACCGGGAAGTTACTGCAAGGAAGAAAAAGACAGTTTTTGCTCTATCCCCACCTTATGGCTAGAAAAAGAATTGTCCTATTGCAGCATATATACTTCTGAATATTTTGCCTTTATTGTATCACAATAACCAGAGAATATTTACTATTTGCATCATGCAACTTAAGACTGTTTTTAGCTGTGTTTAACTGTGCACTCCTCCACATACGAGCACAATGAAACTCCACGGCATAAATGTCATCTCTAGCTCCACTGTTGATTTTCTGAATCAAAACAGCAAACAATGTTCCAACATAACTTTAGATTCAAATAGAACAGTAATTACTTGGGCCCTGACCCTAAAAATATAGACGTTCAGATATTCCTGTTGACTCTTTCAGGAGTTGAACAGCCAGCTCTCTCCATAGATCTAACCCTCACTGATACACCATTCTTAATAGTCACACTTTTTAAAAATACTTTTAAACCTAATAATCAGATTATTTATACCACTCAGGAATATTAAACTTACATGCCCTACAAACTAAACCAGAAATATTTATGAATCTAGTTTTAAAACCTTTAACAACTACCTTCTCCCTTCACTTATCCTGCAAGCAAAATGTTGAGAGCTAAAATAGTGTATACTCGTGAGAAGACAGTCAAGTTGGCAAGCAGCAGGTCCTCTCCCATCAGTCACTCTATACATGACAGGAAACAAAAACAGCAGCAACACCACCCCACAAATGAAAACACAGCTTTCCCTCATCACCCACTTACCAGTAAACACTTTTCTTCTCTTTTTGTGCCTTAATCACCTGTGATACCACTCAGTGGCCTAGGGACTAATATCAGCTACATGAAAAACCAAAAACCAAGACAAGGGCCACCTGAACTTTTCCACATTCTTCTATTTCTCCATTTTGACTTTTCCCTCTTTATTGATGGTCATATTGAAAAGGCAGAATAGGACATGAAATAGAACACTGGGAAAGCTACAAAAAGAAAAGAGAATGGAAAAACTGGATAATGTCTTAGTGAGCCTTTAGTTTTTTAGGCCGTCTATTCCACTTTCCTAAGGAAATGAAGAATCACAACTGTCTCCGAGCACCTCTCCTTCCCAAAATCTCTTGAACCTTTAAAACAAGAGAAAATTCTATAGTAAGTCAATAGTCTCAATGGTTTCCATAAACTAAATTTTTCCAGCTTTCATGAAACAGCTGAGTAGATGAGATTCCTTAATAACGCATCAGCATGACTCCTCTCAGTAATTCCTGCCTTTTTCCTCCTAATGGCAGAGTATCAGCACAGTAATTCAAATAAGAGAACCCCACTTCATTAGGCCTTCTACCACAGATCTACTTTAAAAAGACATCTTCCAGAACTATGTGCTTTGATGTTTTGTCATTAAATATTCAATAACAAAATTGGAAGTGTTCATGGGTATTTAGACAACACTGCTGTTAAGGAGTTTTGGTTTCAAAAATCCTGTAAGGTTTAATGGGTAGAGAAGAGACCCTATGTATACCCATGAAGGAGTACAGAAGAGCTGCCAAACATGAATATAATTAATCTTAGGGTGAACATTCAAGAAGATACTAGGAAAATGTAATAGCATTGTATATTTCTGTATGCTTAACCACAGTACATCAGCCACCTTAATCTTCCATAAGCATTTATTTAATGTTTAACAGTGAAACCTGAATACTTGGCAAACTGTTTGGGTCTTCTGAATACCTGTCTGCTTCAAGTATTATGAAACATTCACAAGGCAGGACACATTCTGACTCAAACTTCTCAGGGCTTAAGAAAAAAACTACCTTCTTAACTATGAATACAGGCCAAAACCACTGTACGAAATATATTAAAAGTACACGGGTGGCTGGTTTAACCCTTCCTTACCTCCATTCGCCAATGGGATCTGATCATCCATCTACTACATGAGAATGAGAACATTCTACTAAGCTCAGCGTGGATCTTTCTCTTAGGCAAATCAAAAAAGAAAAACTCACACTGGACATCAAAACAAGTTCCAGAAAAGCTATGGCACTCAAACAACTGTACAATGAGGAAAGGTATATATGGTTATATAGGACTATAAGAAAATATTTCAGGAAAAATGTAAGAGAAAACATTTATAACAAAAGAAAAATCTAGTGATGCAATAACACCACTATTATTGTTGTTAGATCATGTACTGTAATTACAAAGAAATATACACATCTAGCCAGATCTTATTCCTGAGAATATAATTCAGATTATTAAATTCAAATATCCTTTACATATATATGTTCTCAGCTTTCTTTGTGGATTCCAAGAGCAGAAAAGAAAATGCAGAATATGGAATCTAGTCAACATTACAAGAAGCAGACTGAACTATGTCCTGTGAGTTAAGAGTCATCCTTCTTTTCTGCATATCATAAAAAGATGACTTTTCACAGGTTGTACAGGATTTTTAAAAGTATATGTACATGATTTGAAATTTGAAGTTCTCGCATTGCTCCAGTTCTCTTAGACTACAAAAATATTTAAAGCACAATTCTTTTTTGCTGAATTTCTAGGATATACTCAGTAACATGTTAAACAAATTGGTCTACTCAATACATAATGTTTTCAGAAGTTCTTTATTTTAAGAACAGCTCACTGTGCATATGAAAGACCAGTTACCACATATTCCACAAAGCTTTATTATCAACTGAAACTGTGATATAAAACTACATCTTTATCAAAAGATTTATTAAGTAAAGTGTTCAGCAACTGTTTTAGAACATTAGAGACAGAACATGATTTTAATTTAAGAAATTATTCTATATAATGTACATTTCCGGTCTTTTGACAAGTTAGGATGACACTCGGAGCGAGGAGGAAGTAGCTTGGCATGCTTGCCAACTTATCTTCACTATTTGTACAGGATCTAACGTCAAACACCTCATTGTGCCAGATCTTTTCTTTTTCATAATGTGCATCTGTCCACACCAACTGAATTAGAGACCACCAAGTTGTTGTAAGATTGTTAAATTATTTTTTTAAGAAACAACAAGATACTCAGAGTCAGAAGATAGACATCGATAAAACTATACATATACTTCCACAACTGCAAAAGCTGGGTCATAGGATCTCACGTCACCAAGAAAAAAAATGTTAAAGCAGGCTTTGAAAATCCAGTGGTCTGTTTTCTAGCCTCTGCTTTTCTTTAAAATAACCTGCAAAAAGAAAAAAGTGTATTTATCACTGCTTTTATCACTACAATCCAGGCAGCAGTAGAAGACCCAAAACGCTAGGCTACTCAGAACAAAGGTTAACCTAGCCAAACAGTCTGTTTCCAAGAGCAGAGTCACCAAGAGTAAAAGTCTAGGGAAAAAGTTATAAATAAAGCAAAGCCATACAGAAAAATGCCATATCAGAAAGTATTTTGTTTTTAAATATGCACATTCATAACCAAGAATTCTGTAAAATAAAAAGCTTATTTTAAAAATGAATGCTGAGAAACAACAATGATGTTCTCAAGCCTTCAACAGATTCCTTGAAGCTCTTAACTATTAGGCCGGGGAGGGGGGAAGTAAAAAGTTTGCAATTATACAGCTACTCTAAATTTGTGCTCAAATTTTGTTTGTAATGCTTTATTTCTTTCTACATCAAAAGTGCCCAGACCCTTGAAAGGACATCTTTGGTTTGGAGTTTAAGTTGAAAAATGAACTTCAAAGCCCAAGTGGGACCATTTAAGTGTTAAAATTATTTAAGCACAGGCAGTTTTGCCTTTCTCATCTTAAAAAAAGAATAATAAATGGAGCACAAAAATGTTCAGATGATGTTAAGATTGCAGTTTAAAAGAAATTACAAATGCTAAGATTCAACTGTAACATTAACTTGGCTACCGTACACATCCTGTATATTTTCTGTTACTATAGTAATAGAAAGTATCAAACTAAACATTTCACCAGACAGAAAAAAATACTGAAGATAAACAGAAGCCACAGGACCCAAATATCAGATAACATGGAATTTTACTCTTACAATTTACCCAGCAGTAGTAGGTAGTTGAACAGATAAATTGAAGAGACTGGGTTCCTTCATGAAGCCTAACTAAAGCAGACATATCCTGGTAAGTGAAATGAACTACAGAATACAAAAGGATTTCAGTCATACTTTGACACTACTCTAATTCTTTCTAGAGAAAGAAAGCTGCAATCTTTTGCATGTACACGAAACTTACCCAGCTCTGTAATGCAGAGGATTCCTCCTTCACAGATACTCATACAGCAATGTTTGTTATGCTGAACTACCCACACAGCAACCCACAGTTTAATCCTCCCTTATTTCCTTCCTTGCCGAACACAACATCACACAAAGAATCTGCTCAAGTAGTATCCACACAATGCTGCAAGAATCCACTTCAAACATCTTTTACACTAAGCAGGTAAGAACTGAAGGTATAAGAAGATATCTGAACCTCTCGGAACTATTTCTCACTTGTTCCGTAAAGTTTCATTTATGTTACTGAAGTTAAGACAGCATGCTTCCTCAATATAGTGCCATCTGAAATAAAGATCCTCCAACTTTGGAATTTGCTCCTGTTCCCTGGGCTTTCAGCCCATGGATGCTTGCTGGTAGACTACTGCATAGACTTACCCACATATTGAAGCAATGAATTTAAACACGGAATAATCAAGAAAAATAGGGCTATATTTAATAGAGCAAGGAGAGTTAATCTGATATCTTGGTAACAGTGAATTACGCCAAGGCTGGATTAAAGAACACTACATTTCTGCAGGTTGTGGAAAACATATTTAACACAGAAAACTTCTGTATATGCTGTCATAATGCATTTTATAGTAAACAAAAAAGAAAATATTACAAATGTTCTATTACCTTTGCTGCAAATATAACATGCTCAGGTTTAATTATTCTACTTCTGTTCTGAAAAGCATTTGTCCTGGCTTCTTCTGCTAGCCGACGGAGAAACAGTAAGAAGTTCAAATGCACCTTTAAAAGAGGGAAGAAAAAAAAAAAAAAAACAACAAACTCAAGAAGGATTCAAACTCTTTAAGCAGTTTGTTTTTTCATAGGGTCATTGTTTGAGACAGAGATTTGAATATTAGACTGTTTCAAAATTCCTGAAAATTGTACTCGGGAAAACAAAATAACACTCAGATCAAGTCTTAATAAATTCCCAAGACATTCCTTACTGACAGACTCTTGTAAATATTGTTTAAATTCAGTATACTTAAATCATGTAAGTGCTCTTGAAACAATCACACGAACAACAACTGATCTAACAGAAATCCAATCTGATTTTTATTTGCAGCTTTTTATAATGAAATGTAACATAAATATCAGAGAATAAGGAGCCCTTCTGCTTACTAGTAAACATGGTCAGCTTTCAGTGACTACAACAGCCAGACTTTTAATGAACAGCAAATCCAACTCTGCCTTATCACCAAATGGACTACAGACAAGTTCAAGGACTTCTGCGCCTTTCCAGTGCAAAGGAGCATTGACATTAATTTCTCCAGAACAAGAAATTTTCTGCTGTCAGAAGGTTTTATCTATTTCTTCCCAACTTATCGTTGACTTAACCTTTTTACATGAAAAGAACTGGTAGGGCAGTATTCCGTTCAATACAGAATGCTGTTCTGCTAGTACAGAAAAAGCAAAAATTTTAACAGGCAAGGAACTGTTCCAACTTTGACTAAAACTGCCAGCCAAAAGCACCCCTGTGTAATAAGGGACCTCTAGCATTATACAGACATTATGTGAACTATTTTAATAGTCCAACCTGAAAATCAGTAATTGCAACTTTTCTAAATTGAACTTTCACACAATATTAACTTTGCTATGTAAAGTGTACAAAAATACTTCAGGAGCTCAAAAATATCACCGAAATAAATGAAAATTTTATTTATATAAATTAGGTGATATTCTGCCATACCTGATCTGCAAAGCCGAGAAAGATACAAGTTACAGTTTATGGGAAATACTTTGGCAGTGGGTTTGCAGCACAAAGAATCTGTTAGAGGGTAAGTCAGTGTTCAGATGACAAGCAATTCAGTTTGTTCGTTTTTTTAATCTCTTGAACTAAATGAAGCCAGAGTGCAATAGATAAATTTACATAATATTTGGCATTGTTTGGAAGCATCTACTACACAAAAAGCAGACGTTCTTGCAGATTTATTTAGCAAAACATCAAAGCTCGTCTTTAGTTACTCACACAGAAGTAATCTCCGACAGAATTAAGCAGTGGCATTAGAATAGTATTCAAGATTAGAACTCTCATTATTAGACTTAAGAACATGGAGGTTAGATTTCTGGAAACAAGCTGGGGAAGAAGAGGGAGACAGAACAAAAGCTTCCATACTTGCAAGTTCTCCTGCTAAGTTACCTGAAGGCAAGTGTTAATTTTAAAACTGCCTTTAAAAACTGCATCTTTTCTCAGAATCACTGTACCTTTATTTTCGTATTTTCAAAGTGAACTGCTGCATGTGGAGAAACTTCCCCTGACTCCTACAGTCACATAACTAAAACATTCTACAATAGAGTACACATGTTAATAAATATTCCAGATTATCTAAGGCAATTGAGAAAGGCTAATGAAAGGCAGAATGACTGAAAAACGTGAACAGGACAGTTACTGACAACTACTTAAGTGATACCACATTTTTTTAAAGACATTTTTTTTACTATGTAATGTATTGTATTATTGTCCCTCTGCAAAAAATCCAAGAATAGTTTTGAACTATTTGTGAAAGCTACCTTACAGAACAGAATGCCTATTTCCCATACGAGAAAGGTAGTAAAGTTCTAAGAACATATGTAAAAATGCACAACACTGCTCACAGAGCAAATTCCACACACCTGTTCAATAGAACTAATGAATAGTAGGGACAAGTTCCGTAATTTTGTTTTGCTGCCATAACTTCAGAACAATTCTTTAGAGTGATATTTTGCCTTCAATGTACACTTACTCATCATTCTATGACAGTAAAGAAAAAAAAAAAGGTCATTCAACACAATACTTTAAGCTTTTTCCAAAATGTAAATACAAATCTGCCTTTCTAGCATAAAGCAAGCAGCTGAGTTTCAGCTTTTCTTCTATAATTTCAAGCTAGAACGAAGTCTGCAGATTTTTTCCCTTAGACCATGGAAGGAGGGGAAATACCTAAACTTCAGTGCTAAAATCTTTACCTCTTATTTTCAAAAAGGTAAATAACTGAGTTGTAAGAGCACTGGAGAAACCTTAAACACTATTCCTATCTCTTCACTCAGAGATATTATCACATTCCAAAAAAAAAAAAAAAAAAAAAAAAAAAAAAAAAAAAAACACAACAAAACCCAAACCAAAAAAAAAAACCAGCTTCTGGGGCTGAAACTTTGATAAAATTTGTTAATTACACTATGCACAGAAAAAGATGTTAACACATAGGTAATAGGTTCTGATAAAGCTTCAGATTTCAAAAAGAGACTTGATCAAAAGAATCTGGAAAGTAAAAAAGAAACTCCACTCAGATATTCACCAAAGTTACCTGAATTCTTAGATCTTTCAAACTTTTCCAGTAATGTCATGTAAGAAGACGTTGATTTATCGAGGAAAAGTAATGGCTGAAGGTCATGAAAAGGAAAACAATTTGTCATACGCCATACAGGCAGACCTCCTCACTGCACTGGCTAAGTACCACTGTAGATTTAAATGTAACGCATGGATCATTCAGAAAGGTAGCACAGAAACTTCCCTGCAGAAGAAGCAAGCACTTTGCTCAAAACATGTATGGGTTTGTCTTGTTAAGACAGCTACTAAATAAGTTTCTGAAGTATACAATCTAATCATTCTTACAAGGTTTGTAGGGAATTACAGAGACATTAAAAAAGATACTCTAAAAATTTACTTGTCTAACTACAGGACTACCACCACCCCCCCCTTTTTTTTTTTTTAATACTTGTAATGAAGCATAACTCCAGTTATATTATTTATTCATAGAGAACTAAAGAGCTGTTAGCCACACACCTAGCTGAAGAGCATCATAGATAATCACCACCCCTGGACATTCCTGTTTAAAGGTAAAATAAAAATAGCTAATCCTCCTAAGATTAAAGCCATTTAATCTGACATCACCAGAAGACATAATCTAAATTTTCTCCACATTATTAAGATTCATTCTTATCTCATCCTTTGTGTTGGAATGAGTATTTACATAGCCATACTTTAAGCTAGATCAAACTGCTGTTGCTCATTAATTTTACTCATTTCAATTCACTGATTGTCTTTGCAGCCCATGGAACACCAGGACCAAGACAAGAATGAGATGGAATATCCCTCCAAATCCTGGCCATTGGTTCCCACGCAACATTTTTCAGGCAGCTATACTACCTTGAAGCCAAATTAACATGACCACAGACGTACAGACCAACTGTTACTAATGACTACAAAAAATGTTATTAATGATTGTTTGATTAGTTGACTACTGCATTCCAGAGTAAGCTTTGAGTGGGTCTGAGCATGAGTAGCAAGGGTCCAGCTCCTTAGTCCATAAAATCCTCCAAAGATAGCAAAAGCAGTAAGAACAGATCATATTTTTATTAGACCAACTACAAAAATATGTTCTGTTTACATTCAAATGTAAATCCTCTCATGTAATTATTATATTCATTTATTCTCATTAGGCATTTTTTAAATTTTGCATATTTACGTTTAGCTTCATACATTCAGTTCCCAAACTTTACAATGCTGCAAGACAGGGACTTACAATTCAAGTCAGGGACCATATTAGTATACAGTATGGAGCAGTAACGTGCGAAGATTCACATGCATTTGAAAATAAGAGGGCATGACAGTCATGCAAGTTAACCCTATTAAGTCACTTCAGAGAGTATTTTTTTATGCACAGATATTCTTTTCAATGTGGCAGCTACCACAAGCTCTTTTGAAGTCAGGTTTCCCTGCTACAGTCACGTAATTTTTGGCGTGACAAACTCTTCCTGTGCCACACGTCCCTTAATGCAGGTTAGCAGGAATCCAACCTTGTAGCCCTAAGTTTTCTGAAACTTGTTCAGTATAGTTCTGCTATCTCTACACCTTTATGCCAGGTGTTTTTAAACCATGAACAGGATCTCAACATCTCATTTCCTCGTTAAATTACTAACAAGACTTATCGTTCCTTAGTTTTGGACAGAGATTACTTAGATAGCCTTCTACAAAAGTATGACCATTCAAGATGCTTTAACAGCTAACTAAACACAGTTGAGTTGATCCGTATCTGTGTACCTGAACTCCTAAACAACATCTGTATGTTACAGCCACATAATCCAAATTCCTATTTCTCAGCCTGTCTACACCAAACTCTTTGAACCTCAGTGTGTATGCACAGTGGCACAACATTTATGCATCAGGCTGTTCCTGAATCCCCAAACTCGCTGTCAGAAAACTACAGTCAGTTGCCACCAGCAAAGCAGAAAGCTGCAATCACTACTTATTAGTCTTTAATTAAACTAACGAATTGCCTATCTCCCCGCAGACTTTGCCTCCACTCTGCCTGTAGGTCACTGGGGAAACACAAATTGCAGTAACCTGACGTCCCATTACTCCCAGCAACTCCAAGGCGGTCCAGTGCGCACAATCCACCAGTCCGTACCGTCCAAGCAATAAAACATTTAGAGACCAACTGTCCCTCTTTAGGGACACCTGCCCATGGCAACCTGAGTAGCTGCAGCTGCCCGTCATAGACAAAAGCACAACTGCTCCTGGCCCTGCGCCACGACCCCAGGCTCCCCGGAGGAGGCAGTACTCATTGAGCCGGAGAATTCATCCCTTGAGCTCACCGCGCTGCCCGAGCAGCTGGGGACCGCAGCCGGCTGCTTGGCGTCAGGCACTGTCCTCGGCCCGTGCCCGCGGAAGGCAGGCTGAAGGCTGTGGGGCCAGCGCCGA